AGACGATTGTCTTCGCCACTAGACTGCATGATCTTGCGCTGAACGGTTATGGTTATTTTAATTTATTTATCCTTTTCACAAAGTTCATAATGAAAGACGGTTACGGTAGGTTTCGAACCATCGATTTAACACTTGGGAGACCATCGTCTTCGCCACTAGACCAAAAGGTCTTGTCTGGATGACCATGGTTATTTAGTTTACTTATCCTTTCACGAAGTTCATAATAAGAAAAAGTTTTGGCAAGATTAGAAACATCGATTTACCACTTAAGAGACAGTTGTCTTAGCCATTAGACTGCAAGGTCTTATACGCTGAGCGGCGATGGTTATTTAATTTACTTTATTATTTTCACGAAGTTCATAATAAAAAAGGTCATCGCAGGATTCGAACCATCGATTTACTACTTGGGAGACGATTGTCTTCGCCACTAGAATGCATGATCTTGCACTGAACGGTTATGGTTATTTAATTTATTTATCCTTTTCACAAAGTTCATAAATAAAAAACGGTTACGGTACGATTCGAACCATCGATTTAACACTTGGGAGACCATCGTCTTCTCCACTAGACCGCAAGGTTTTGTGCTGGATGACCATGGTTATTTAGTTTACTTTATCCTCTCACGAAGTTCATAATAAAAAAAGTTTAGCAAGATTCGAAACATCGATTTACCACTTAAGAGACAGTTCTCTTAGCCATTAGACTGCAAGGTCTTGCGCTGAGCGGCGATGGTTATTTAATTTACTTTATTATTTTCACCAAGTTCATAATAAAAAGGTCATAGCAGGATTCGAACCTTCGATTTACTACTTGGGAGACGATTGTTTTCGCCACTAGACTGCAAGATCTTGCGTTAAATGGTTATGGCTATTTCATTTACTTATCCTTTTCACGAAGTTCATAATGAAAACGGTTACGGTAGGATTCGAACCATCGATTTAACACTTGGGAGACCATCGTCTTCGCCACTAGACCGCAAGGTCTTTTGCTGGATGTCCATGGTTATTTAGTTTACTTCATCCTTTCACGAAGTTCATAAAGAAAAGGTCATAGCAGGATTCGAACCATCCATTTAAGACTTGGAAGACAATTGTCTTTGCCAATAGTCTGCAAGGTCTTGTGCTGAACGGCCATGGTTATTTAGTTTACTTTATTCTTTTCACGAAGTTCATAATGAAAAAGGTCATGGCAGGATTCGAACCATCGATTTACTATTTAGGAGATGATTTTCTTCGCCACTAGACTGCGAGAACTTGTGCTGAACGGTTATGGTTATTTAATTTATTTATCGTTTTCACGAAGTTCATAATGAAAAACGGTTATGGTAGGATTCGAAAATCGATTTAACATTTGGGAGACCATCGTCTTCGCCACTAGACCGCAAGGTCTTGTGCTGGATGACCTTGATTATTTAGTTTTCTTTACCCTTTTCACGAAGTTCATAATAAAAAATGGTTTTGGCAGGATTCGAAACATCGATTTAACACTTGAGAAAATTGTCTTAGCCACTAGCCAAAAGTTTTTCGGGTGAAATGGCTTATTTTGAACTATTTTATCGTTTTCACAAGTTCATAAAGAAAAAATTTATGGTAGGATTCGAACAATCGATTTAACACTTAGGAGACCTTCGTCTTCACCCGTAGAGCACAAGGTCTTGTGCTGGATTACCATGGTTATTTAGTTTACTTTATCCTTTCACGAAGTTCGTAATAAAAATGGTTTTGACACGATTCAAAACACAGATTTTACACTCGTGTTAGCCACTAGACCACAAGTTTTTCGGGGAATGGCTACGTTATTTGATCTACTTTATCGTTTTCACGAAGTTCATAATGAAAAACGGTTATGGTAGGATTCGAACCATCGATTTAACTACTTAGGAGACGATTGTCTTCGATACTAGACCACAAGGTCTTGTGCTGGATGACCATGGTTATTTAGTTTACTTTATCCTTTCACGAAGTTCGTAATAAAAAATGGTTTTGACACGATTCGAAACATAGATTTAACACTCGTGTTAGCCACTAGACCACAAGTTCTTCGGGGAATGGCTACGTTTATTTGATCTTCTTTATCGTTTTCACGAAGTTTATAATGAAACGGTTATGGTAGGATTCGAACCATCGATTTACTACTTGGAGACGATTGTCTTCGCCACTAGACTGCAAGATCTTGTGCTGAACGGTTATGGTTATTTAATTTATTTATCCTTTTTCACGAAGTTCATAATGAAAAACGGTTATGGTAGGATTCGAACCATCGATTTAACACTTGGGAGAGCATCGTATTCGCCACAAGAGCACAAGGTCTTGAGCTGGATGGCATTGGTTATTTAGTTTACTTTATTCTTTCACGAAGTTCATAATGAAAAGGTCACAGCAGGTTTCGAACCATCGATTTACCACTTGGGAGACAATTGTCTTAGCCACTAGACTACAAGATCTTGTGGAGAATGGCCATGGTTACTTAATTTACAGTATTTCTTTTCACGAAATTTATAATGAAAAACGGTTATGGTAGGATTCGAACCATCGATTTACCACTTTGGGACCATTGTCTTTGCCAATTGAGTACAAGATATTGTGCTGAACGGCCACGTTCATTTATTTTACTTTATCCTTTTCACGAATTTATAATGAAACACGGTTATGGTAGGAGTCGAACAATCGATTTAACACTGGGGAGATCATTTAAGTTTGACAACCTTCAATCCAGCTGTTTTTGAAGCATTGTAATAAAATTTTTTGTGTTCCTTCACAGGCAGCTAGTGATCTACAATAAAAATAACCAATGATTCAATATTTTGTCCACCACAACCCAAGGTGTGTGTACATAGTTTTTACTAGTAAACAACTCTAACATGACTTTCCCTGGACAAGTAAAGTTGTCGGGTTTAAATAGAAATAAACACACTTACAATGATTTCCCAACTTCTTCTTTTCGTTCCCGTTTTCTTCTATCCGATTCGTTAAACAAGTTTTAAAGAAATTATCTAAAGCTGATAACGTGATGTTATCATTGAATCACCACCTTTTCGTGTATGGAAATGAATATTGTGTTTCCATATTGCTTAATTCACGATCAATATGGCGGGTGGTCGGTAGCTCTATATATTTTTTTATGATATTTATTTTATCTAACGAGTTTCGTACATCTCGACCAATTAATATGGCATTTAAGAATATTAATTGCATGGATTTGGACGGATTGGCTGCGGATGGCATAACCTTGAGTATTTGTAGAGATATTGCTTTTCGATGTCGGGTCAACATACAACGAGTTGGTTTTGAATCTAAATACAAAGTCTCATTTGCGATTGCTAAAGAACCGAAACATGGATTTGTTAGTCTAGTCCTATGTGCGAAGCCTTTTAAGCAGGATCTAACAATGTGTGTGGATGTTTCGTCTAATCCTGGTCCTCAATCTTTTGATAATAATCAGGCGGATAAGATGTATCAACATCGAAAGCAGTCACGTTTGATGAACACGTTTCGACCCGCTAATAATCCTGAGGAGCTTAGTTCAATGCTTGGGCAGTTGAATCTACAGAAAGGTTGGTTGTTCCATATGACCTATAGGAATATTTTCTATAATACCTACTTGGCAAACACCTCCGCGACACTATACAATCACTATCATCATGCAAATCATCAGCCTGTAAACATATATGGCAGAAATGATATTAATTAAGAGAAACAATCTCATCAATATTCCTTTATCAAGCATTGCCAACACTCCTGATACAGCTGTTACTCAGCTTTGTTCTTTTGGTCTTCTCAACTGCCTGTCTATTCGAAACAAAGCCAATTTAGTCAAAGACTATGTGGTTGAGAATGAATTTGATATATTTGCGATAACAAAAACGTGGCTTCACCCTGACAAATTTGATCTTATATCTATTGGGAATTTCACCCCGAAGGGCTACTCTTTAAACATATCTCGAGACAACAAGGTAGATGGGGAGGCATTAGTATACTATACAACAACACTTAAAAGTCAAGCTGGACTCGGCGAACATGTTCACACACATTAAGTGTTTCGAACTGATAGGTATGCAAATCAATGTGTTATCTCAAATACTAAATATAATCGTATTATATCGACCTCCATGTAGACGATTAGTCGGAATTAACAACAAAAAAAATTCTCAATCTTGTTGATTCTTTTAATCTGGAACAACAACCAACACACATTGCTGGTCACACGTTAGACCTTATCTTGTCTCGCCATGAAGAAAATATTGTTCAATCTATTGACGTTCATGATCCATCTATATCTGACTATTACACGGTTACATGTGAACTCAATTTTAAAAAAAACATTGTTTCAGAGAAGGGTCGTGGAGTCACGTAAAATTAAAGCAATCAATATGGACTGATTCTTTAATGACATTAGGCTATCTCCGATTATCACTGGGAACACGGCTGATATTAGTGCGAAAGTCAACCAATACAACTCGGAGCTGTCCAGAATTCTGGATCATCATGCACCACTTATCACCAGAGTGATAATTAGTCGTCCAGCTGCACCTTGGTACACTGAACAAATTAAAAACGAAAAACGTATCAGAAGGAAACTCGAGCGGGTATGGCGTAAGTCAAGACAATCCTGTGATCGTCTAAAATACAGTCAGTCATGTCACCGTGTCAGTGAGCTATTATCGGAAAGTCGTACTCATTACTATTCTGAAATTGTTAGAGATAATGGGAGTGACCAAAAGCAATTATTTAAAACCGTTGGAAAGTTTCTACATCATACCCCTGATTCTCATTATACTGTGTGCGAATCTGATCAGAATCTAGCTAACAATTTTATGACTTTCTTTGAGGACAAAATTTTGTAATAATGTAATGTTTTGGTATTTTGATTTTTGTTTAAGTTCGTGATGTATTTCTATGTAGCCTCAGTCTTATCCTAATGGGAATTTTTTTTAGATGTGAAGAGAGGACGGCCATTCGAATTAAAGTACTAAATGTGCTTTGTAAGATATTAGGAACGTCATCTCCACTATATGAGGTATAAAATGTTGGTACTTTGAATAAATTTTAGTCCATTTTTCTAGACATTAGCGATATTATGAATTTTTTTTTTAGTTTTGTAACTCCTTGTTTTTTACAGGGAGAAATACTTGAGAATTCAGTGTTGCCACATTTAGACCACATTGCGAAAGATCGGGATATTTTTGTGCAGATCCGAGCTGTCCAGTTTCTTGTCGATGTTATTGAATCCTCTGATTCACCGAAAGTTTGCGATGTTTTGCATATAATCGAGAAGGTACTCAATACAATCCTTTTCAGTTGGTTTCATTTCTCCACTCCAATTTGCCTCTTCATTAGTGATGAGCTGATACTGTACTTCAATAAAAAACTCTCTCTTATCAGTGAAAGCTTCCTGACCTGAACCCAACCATATACCCGCGAATTGGATCGTTTTACACGGGAGTCGCGAATGCAAACGCATCAGTGAAGTAAAAGGATATATATTTCATTTATCAATTCCAGATTGCCACTGTCCAGTAGATCCTCTCAAGCGATACGTTAAGCCGTCGTGTAAAGAACATGTAAGGTAATTATAGAGACTGCAAGGTATTTGTAGGAACATCTAGAGACATATAATTACATCTAATCACTGTAGATTGCCTTTGTTGCTGCAGCCTCAGGATGAAACAGCGTAGAAAGATATCAAAGAGGCTGCATTAGGATTAGTACGGAGAACTATTTTGGCTTCAAGCTAGATAGGGATTTTTGTCAGGACTTATCGTTCCAGTTGTATAAAATGAAACTATTCACAATGAATTCCAAATCGTAATTCATCATGGTATCAATGCCCCCCCTCCTCTCTCTTTCAAAAATTAGGCCCATGTTCCATTTTTAATTTAATAAGTGGGTTCTTTATAAAGTGATGAGCTAGCTAAAGCTAATGTTTCCAAACTATTTCCACATCAACATATGCTATATTTTTGTGCCGAAGATTAGTGGATATAAATAACAATGGAGAGAACGAAAGGTTCCAGTGACGTTAGAGGTACTATTATTGTTTTCAAGTTTCTTCATAACTTACCTGTGTGTTCATTTATATATATATATATATATATATATATATATATATATAATATATATATAATATAATATATATATATATATAATATATATATATATATTATATATATATATATAATATTATATATATATATTATATTATAAATATAAATATAATATATATATAAATATATATATAATATATTATATATATATATAATATATATATATACTTGATATTGCCAGACATTTGAATATTTGTGATTTGAATAATTCAACTCAGGCTTTCATTCCATTTCTATCCTTAGGTCTCAGATTATCCTAAGGGATTTGTTGTTGTCTGTGGTGGTTTTAGAACAATGGTATGTACCAGATGCTGCTGTACCAGCCATATAATAACAAAAGGATAAGATACCGGTTATTTCTGTAAATTGAAGTTTTACATTTTGTGCACCATTTTCCTTTTGTTTTCCAGCATCTTTTCACATCAGAGAGGAGAGAGGAATTGCTGAAAAAGATGATGGAATCTTCTTTCAATAATGTTGGTGTTATGATAAAGTATGTGAACATTTTAAGTAAACAAATTTTAAGTAAATGACAAAATGACTTACATTCAGGTTACTTTATTTACGTTTTAACCGTTTTTGACAAAATTCTTTCCAGGTCTGTAATTTACTTTGAGCTGTATTTGTTATTTCTTTTGCCTCAGTTTTAGGCAGAAGAAAAGTTCCATCAAAGTGGAGTCGTTTTTTAAAACAAATTTGGAAAATACAGTTGAATGATATATTGTTAAGACAGTATTTCGTTTGTCCTGTGTAAAGAATGTGAGATATGACAGTAAATGACAAATTTTTCGTCTCAGTGATGACGAACATATCACATCAATGTCAGAATTCAGCGTCTATAAAGAAACTCCTCGGATTAAAGTGAGTTATGTTGTTAATAAAATTTTTCTAAGAGTCTATCCTTTTTCTCATTTTAAAATCGTTTTGACACTGTCAAATTTAGGATCCTGTTCAAAGAACGCTGTGTTTCTTAGAAAGGTGTCTTTTGGAAAGAGATCCCGCGACGTACAATATCGTCACCCTTCATCCCCTTAGCTCATTAAGTCATGCGACATTCCATGTCAGTTCCAGTAATTGTTCATGTCTGACCTTGAAAAAAAACACTCCAAACACTCCAAACACTCCATGTCTTCTGACCTGGATTCACGTTTACTGCTTTTATTGTCCTTTTTATTTCACGTTTCCATTTTGAACATGTCCAATTGCAAAAAAGTATCCAGCCGAGTTAAAATACTTTTATTTTTGTAGTTACTTTCCAGAATTTACCGTATATACCGTATAGAATATTATAGTTTTCAAACTTTTTTGCTGTCAGATATTTTCAAAATTTGCTATCGAAACCATCCTCAGTTGTTGGGGCGGAATACACAAGCGGTCGGCTGAGAAATTACTCGTCTCCTGACAGGTAGTGTAAGAAAGCAAATTTTGTATGAAGCTATAAAAAATATTTCTTGTTTTGAATGTTTGTATTTCACTCAATCTGGGATACATTATTAACTGGTTTGCTAGACGGTGTTAGAGCCAGTTGAAACGGAGATGTTTGCGTAAAAACGACCCCAACGAAGAAAAGTACTGTACGCTTATTCATAGATGATTGAGCGAAAATTATGGTCAAAATTTTCCTGATGAAAATCTTGTACTGCTATGATTACCCTAAATACGATCCCTCATTTCATTCTCCTGCTGACGTATGTGATCTCATATAACACACCAACAATTACACTTCTCGTCAGGTATCAGGCAATAGCATTATTCCTATTAGCCAGTTCAATACATTACATACAGCAAAAAGAGAATTGTTTTTTTAAGATGATATATTTTTCAAGGTTATCGTTGGGGTCCATTGTATAATGTTGTTGACGAAGAAGTAGAAAGCAGTAATTTAAATTCCTTGCTGCGTCTCCAGGTGAAATATTTCTCTTTTTATTTCACTTTAAATTTTTGAAATATCTCCAAAAGCTTATATTGTCTTATGACTGGTTCCTTGCAGGAAATTTAGCCGAGGCTGTGTACAGATTTAACTGCAATATTTCCTACTGCGGTCTACTTCATGCAGTCACCCAAGACGTAAGTTGACAACTTCTTATCTTGTACTTTTCTGCAGACAAAATCCTGTGTAGAGAATATTATTGCCTTTTTATTGAGTTTTAATGTTCTGTCAAAATCTGGATTAAGGCTGTTTTCCACTCACGTGTTTTTTATACGCACGTACACGCACGTAAAAATCTAAATCCTTGTTCATGCTACCTTTGAAAGGACTAAGTGAATAAATCGACCTACAATCATGTGCAAAAATTATTGGGACACGGTCATGACACCTAGTATCTACCCCCTCTACCCCCAAAACAATGTTGTTTCTATGATACCAAGCCATTTGATTTGCCGAAAATATCACTCTCAACATTGTCAATGGGGGAAGGGGGGGATAGTAAATAGTTTAACAAAATTCGTGACATAATAGTTGTCAAAATGAAAAAAAATGTGATTAAGATACGTAAAGTTTCATAATTTTTGCACATGATTGTAGATGCACGTTAATTAATAAAAATTTAAAAGCATTTAAATTCTCCGTATGTGTACATGCGTATAAAAAACGCGTAAGTAGAAAGCAGCCTTTAGTGTAAACTAAACGATTGCTAGGCTGCATAGTTACGTTAAATGAAAACATTTGCCCATTTCAGCTGCTAATTGAAAACATTTAGCAGGGTTTAAAACGTCTGCAAACAACACGGTACATTTAAACTGGTTTATCCAGTATAGCGAAAGGCAAAGAGTATAGCTTTAATAAAAATACCCTATCCTGCTACTGTTCTGTGCACAAATGTACACAAAACCCTAATAGTACTCCTTAAAAACCGCCGTAACTCCAGCCTAGACCCAGGGCTCTCATTGTGCGTGTTTTATATTTCCGTCACGTCACCGAATGAAATGCCGCGAGAGGCCTAACACAAAATATTTTCTAATCTTAACGGCCCGTTTAATGTTGTGAACTTGAAATTAGAATTGTTTTTAAAGTAAATGCTTGAAATTTACAACAGTAACCGTTATAAAGGAAGCGAGAAAAATATGAATTGGTGGATTGAAGTTTATTATAATCATAAACATGTACGTACGGACTCGAGTTTACTTGATAGTCGATAGCGTTGACGGCGAGCGACATTGAAACGTTTGTATGAATATTTCGACTCCTGGCAGTATAATTAATATCGCGTAGCTTATTTCAAGAAAATGTTTGACTAACGACGTCGAACAAGGCCAGTTAACTGCGTCGTAAGATCGTAAACTGACCTCAATACAGAAAGTGGGGACAAAAAGTCCCCACTTTAGCCAAAATACAAAACATTTTGTTCTAGGCCTCTCAGTTCCCGCCTCGCTGCGTATAAGGAACGTTAAGAAGCCTAGGGACTAGGCTGCGGTAACTCTGGTTGCTGAGTTGACTGGGTCCGAATCCATGAAATGGTAGTTTTGAAATTTTCCCGCCAGAAGTACGGCTGGAATATTAAGTCTTTTAAACTCCAATATATATTTCAAACGATTTTAAATATTTTGTAGGGACTTTTCTCGGAGAATAAAGAAAGACTTATCATTAATGCCATCACAATGCTCATTGCTCACGAAGGTATTGTATATCTTTGCCAATAAATTTATTTAGTGTTCAACCCTAAAGTATACACATTCTGACTGCTATTACCTTCACAGGTGTTCTATATATACATAAAATAGTTAAAAAGTTTCGTCTATTTGCAGGAGACCAAAACAAAATATGAGATAAAGATCTCGAAGCACTGTTTAACGATTTGAGAAGTTGGGTTCGATCCAAAGCAGTTTTCGCGCTTTCACAACGCTCACTAGGTGACAAACGTTTATCTTTAACCACAACACACGCTGTTTACTCAACCAGTTCACTTGCGTGAGAAGGTTGGTGTGAAAACTGTGAAAGCTTTGAAGAGGAATAATGAAGCCGTGACTCACGCCGCTGTCGACATGTTGTGTGTGCTCTATTGCAGGTAAAGACAGGGCTTTCCTTTAAGCGGCCAAAATGGTCAGACCGGACATATTTAAATTTAAAATAGAGTATTTCGTTAAGAATATAGCGGCGAAATTTCCGAGCTAAATAGATGGAAGAAACGAAATACGTAAACTCAGCCAACTTTGAAATTTGCATGTTAACAAGATCCAATTTTATCGAAACTAATTCTGTTGTTTTATGCAATACCAATACCGTTGTTTTGTATAACCAACGCACAATAACTTTGAAATTTGACAAGAACAGATAAACAAAAGCTCTTTGTTCTCCTCTGAAAAATTTCTAAACAGTTGGTTAGGAATTCTCACAATAAACGTGGTAAGATGTGCGGTGTTGGTTGCCTATAATCTACACTGAACCCTTGCACTTTATTTTTCCATCCCTCTTGTATG